CTATAAATCTGTGAAGAATCCTTGTAGCTGTGTTATTGTTATAGTACTGCTGTTAAGAAGGTCATGGTACTGTAACAATAGTATTATTTGCCAAGAAGTTTATATAGTGAAAAAAAGGTTTTTTAAAGATATATCGGCATCTACTAGACCAATTTTGACATTCTAACTACCATTAGATGCGTTTTGACAGGCTCTACAAAAGTCTTTTAAGCAAAAAAAGTAATTAACTTAGTATAAAAAAGTTTTAGATTTGTGCAGATTACATTTGCACTATAGTAAATTTATATAGTAATCTGAGTCATATTTAGTTTTAAAATATTTTTTTATTAAAAAATTTTTTTTAAAAAGTTATATAATTTAGCATATATGTATTATAATGCATTCTGGATTAACCAATTGAAATATAAGATTAGATGTAATTTACATAATTATAAAAATTCAAAACAAACATTTGTTTTGCTAAAAATCACTTATAACTTAAAATTTCTTATATGAAACTATTTTTTGGGTTTTAATAAAAAAATTTTTTGTAAGTTTTTACTATAAACTTATCTTTATATTTATTTTAACTTTAACTAATGCTAACTCTAATCATATAAAAAACTATTATATTATACATAATCTTATAGAATGCATTATAATGTATTTGTGTAAAATAATTAAATCTTTTTTTAAAATTGTATATTTTAAATATATAATTAACTACAATTTTTCTTTTAATAATTTAAATATAATATTAAAAAATAAGAATGTGTTGACTTATTAAAGTTGGTAAGTTGTCACATTCCTAAATAGCAAAACAAGAGTTTAAATTCTAATGGTGATGAATTTAAATTTACAGAATATATTATAGAAAACTTTATGATATATTAATCAGATCAGCACCTATAACCTTAATTGTACTAGCTTATATTGAGAGGTTGTAGAATAATAATGTGATATATAAATTATACAAATCATAAATAAACTAGCTAAATTAATCTAAGAGATTAAATAATATGAAAGTCTGCTTGAAAAATTCTGAGTAGAGAGGTAGTACTGATTTTTTAATAATGCTATATAAAGAATTAACATTTAAAATCCGAATACCAAAAGCAAACTAAACGAAGACTGAATATTTAGCAAAAGCATTATACCAACCAGCCCACTAGATATAACTAAAGGAAAAAAATCATTTAAAATACTAAATGACACCAACTAGTTTCTTTTGAATCATCTGAATTAGGAGTTTAAAGCACTAATAATTGGTATTGAAATACTGTTAATAGTCTGTAAAATAAATGCTGGGGTTTGAGTGAACTTTACAAGGGTAGAAGTAGATAATAATAGCAACTTAAGCTTGCAAATACTTGTTCTTAAACTCAGTGTAAATGATTGAAACTTAAATTAGTCAGATTGTAAATACAGAAAGCTCTAGCAATAATGTCTTGAGAATAAATTAGTTCTAAGAAAATAGTGATAGCATCTAGAATTTCTCAATTGATATATATAATGAAGATGTACTGATGATACAAGTGGGTTGCATTTAAAAATAGAAATTATATGATATAATTAAAATTGTGATATAATAAACAGATTATTATACTGTATAATAACTATATAATAAATATCTAAAAAGTATATACGAGTTTGTCACATGCTTACTCATTTTTATAAAAAATTTTATCTAAATTTTTATTGTCCAACTTTGTTATACTAAAATATTATATCATTATATAGCAGTTTATTAATTATATTATACCAATTATATAATTATTATACTATTTTTATTATATGATATAATATAATTGCCTATTCCTAGTTGCATTATAAAAGTAATATCTGTAGTTAGGTTACAGATACAATATACAATATAAAATATACAATAGTAAGCAAACTACTTAAATTAAATACCAAAAATATATATGTAGCTAGATGTTCTCTCTAATATAATAGAAGGTTCTGTTGTGAGCCTTCCTATCTAATAACTTAAATAAAACCTTAGCTTCAAAAAGGCTAGTTAAAAAAAATAATATTAATATTAAAAATATAATTCTTATTTTCAAATATATTATTATACTGTATTAAATAATTTTAATACTTACTAGAGATAAAATTTACCAGTTATATAAATAGCCAATTAAATCACTGGATTTTTATACAACAAAAATAAAGAATTTTTAGAAAAAAAAATAAAAAATATTAATATCTTAAATTTTTATTATGAAAACTTGCTTTATGTTATTAAGTAAAAATTTTTAATACTTAATTTTATATATCATAAACACTTTATTCTAATATAGTTTTTGCCCTAACCTTAAAATTAATAAAAAAATTTTTTATGAAAAAATAATCAAACAAAACTATATACTAGTTAATTTCATCTATAGTTATTTCTAAATAAATTCTATTATATTAAATTTTATTTAAATATTTTAAATATTTAAAAAAATAAAATTAAAAATATATTTATAATAATAATTACAAGCAAATTTGTCTGCAATTGCTTATATATTAAAAGATAAAATTTTTAATATTTAAATGTTATTAAATAATTGAAATCAAAATATTTTAAAATAAAAAAATATATACTGTATATATTAAATAAATTATTTAATTAATTAAAGCTTAAATAATAGAAGCTTTGAATACTTGAATATTTGAATATTAAATACAGTATAACAAAAAAGGTTTTAAATATCAAAAATATATTTGCATATAAATATATATACAGTATAATTATATATAATATACGTATATAGTAAAGTTTTTGTTTAACTAAAATAAATTAAATAATAAAATGTTTTTTATAAAATTATAAATAAAATAAAAACTTTATTATAAATTGCCTAGCCAATTTTTTTTTATTATAATATATACAGTAAGTTATTTGCGTAATGCGCCAAATTAAACTTTGCTAGCTTATTTCTAATTTTAAAACAGGTCAACTGACAATCTTCAAAATAATCTTATTGATTTTGATAAATCAAGTATTGATTTGCGGGTTTCAATACTAGAATAATTTCTAAACAGTTTATTAGTAATGTTAGCTCGGATATCTCGATTCATTATGTATTAGATTGTATTATAGTTTTACTCGTCGGTCGTTCTTATTGGAGAACCTAAAACCAGTGATTCGTAATTGTCAGTACACAGACTCAACGAAATCTGAGGCGATATAGCCCCCTAGATCAGGACTGTATGATAGCCCAATAAGAAGTATGAATCCGTACACGACAGATACAATGCATGCTGGAAAAGTTGAATATGCGCGTACATCTCATACGAAACAACGAATATATTACAAATTGACAGAAGAAACAAATAAAAAAAATCCAGGATTAAACAATTTCAAACGACAAACTAAACTAAATTGAACTGTGTGCATGTATTTTTCCGACCTTATTATTTAATATATAGTTTCCAAACGCATTGTCTTTATCGTCGTCGAGTATTTGCTCTTGGAGTTGTAAGCCGAAATCACGTACTATAAATACTAATTCAGTAATAAACAGGTTTTTTCAAGATTCATGGAAGCACAAGCATATTTTGTTTAAGATACCTGTTTCGGTATTGCATTTGCATCATGTCATTGTTCTTTATGTACAAAGCAACAATTTCTTATTGTCTGATTTCAGGGTTGGTACAAAACCAACAATTTATAGGATTTATAGGATTATATATTTGGAAAATTTATATATGTAAATTACTGGCTAGAAAAAAAAAAAAAAAAAAAAAACGCGCTTATGATTTTCCAAAGAATAATGAATTTAAAAAAGCTATAGAACCTTCTTTCCATAATTGTAATATCACACCACTTAGAAACTAATACAGTAAGTATTTGTCAAATCTTAGTTAAAATTATAACAACTTATAAATAAAATTATTAAGATAAAGAAATAACCATTTATTTACACATGCTCATATATAAAAAAGATATAATTTTAGGGAAAAAAAGATCGGAATAGAAAACTTAACTGTTATACAAACTAATTCTCAAAGAGAAAGTCATTTCCTGAACTTAAACATAAAATATATAGAAAAAAAGTTTAGTAAAAAATATATAGAATCAGAAAAAAGCAATTAATATAATTTGTCTTTTCTGATAATTGATATATATATATATATAATAAGCGACAGGGGAGGGGGCCAGTTTGTAGAGAGAAAATCGAGGCTTTATATAAATGTCATTGAAAATTTCAACAAATGGTATCCATAAATTGCCCCCATCCAATAAATCGCTTAAAATTGAGTACTGTATATAACTACTAAGAAAACTTATAATGACGATCCAAGATTATGTATATAGCACGAAAGAAAATACTAAATTGAAATATTATCCCCAGCACAACTATCATAAAAGAAGCGATATGAATATAATAAAACAATAAAAGAAAAAATGTATGTGAACTAATAATAAAATCCACATTTGAAATATCGTTGATACATGGTCTATCATAGCTTATTTTCCCCGAAAAGAAAATTAACAGCTACATCCGGCAGAATTATTGTTTCCATTTTGTCTATTCGGCATAGATGGAATTACGCTTATCGGGTTGCCATTATTACCTACTTGACGTGGGCGGCTAATAAGATGCTCAAGAGGAATTTTCTTGGCTACAAAATAAAGTTATTCTAAAAGTTAAATTGTATATATTAATTATATAGTATATAATAATGATTGCGTACCAATTTCTGTGAAAACGTCCCGCACACCATCGCCTTTCTTTGCACTGGTCTCGAAAAATAGCAAACCAGTCTCGAGGGCGTAAGCTTTAGCCTCTTCAGTAGGAACTTGTCTCCCACTTTCCACCGAATCTTCTTCACCATCATCAACTGGTTGAACGAGATCTATTTTGTTTCCTGCAAGTGCAATAACAATGTTTGGATTTGCCTGACGTTGCAATTCCTTTACCCAAGATTTGGCTTTGTCAAGCGAGGCCTAGATATTAAACCCAAAAATTATGTTAAACATGTGTCGGTAAACCACACTTTACAACTAAAGGTTCCATTTTAACATAATTATATGACTTACGCCTTTTGTTACATCGTAAACAACTACAGCAGCCTGAGCGTTTCGATAATACATTGGAGCCAGAGAATGGAATCTTTCCTGACCAGCGGTATCCCAGATTTCGAATTTAATTACTTTATCTTCTAAACGACACTTTTGCGTTAAGAAAGCGGCTAGGTTTTCGAAAGAAAAAGGTATCACAGTGAATTCACAAAGCAAAAAAAAAAACAATAAATTGTAAAGCGACTAATATATTTGGGATCTGTGCGGAATTTCTTACCACCAATAGTTGGCTCTTTGTTTTCTTGGAATTCATCATTTACAAACCTAAGCACCAAACTAGATTTACCAACGGCAGCTTCGCCTATTATTAACAAGAAAAGTGTGTGTGTTAATGCCTGAAACAATTACATCTCAGCAAATAGGTAAAAGGCAGTGATGACTTTGTTGAGAGAGAAGGTACGACTAATTTGCTTAAATAAATTGCTTCCGATGGTGTAAACTTACCAAGCAGCACTAGCTTCACTTGAACAGGTTTTAAGTTTGCATTATCACCATTACCACGGGGTGGTTCAGCAGATTGACGAGGGTTACTTGACATTTCTTATATAATTCTGTTTGCCTTGTGGTTATGGCTTGTTGTTAAATCAAAAGCTCTGGTTTGCCGGGGAGAGAAGAAAAAAAAAAACGAAATATAGACGATATGATACACTGTGATACTGATAAATGATTCTAGTATACACAATAGCAAAACCCTCAAGGTACAGTACTACATAGAGCGCCAAAGGGGTCATGTAAAATAGTCCGACCCGGATGCTATATATATTCTGGATGCTATCGCAATGTAAATAATCGAACCTCGGAAATTTTATAGTAAATTTCATACGTACATATTCTGATTGACTAAATGAGGACGATAGCCACAGTCGTACGTACGTTTTTTTTTATTCAGGGTCCTGGGTATCCGGCACTTTGAAAATCGCCGATGACGGTATAACTGTGAAAGCGATAAGACAGATAAGACCATATTACTGTAAAAACCTCTGCATCAATCTTAAAACGTGATAATTTAAACCGATTAAGTATTGTTAGACGCGGGTCTAGACTAAAAATACTTCGCGCAATGATTCTAAGAAAAACTCCAGTACGCGGTTGGAGACAATGCTTCAATCGTAGTCATGTTAATAGTCAAAGTTCTGATGTATTCTTCGCGAAGATCTTGCTAGATTAGGAATGCCAATGAAGAAGTGTCAATTAAGTTTCTGCAAACCCAAAATGTACCCATCTCCAGCAATAGGCACAGGCATAGAGTACTTAGTCTAAAACTGCCTGACTTTGTGCGCACAAGTGCAAGGCCAAATAGTAATTGGGCAGCTTCGTTGTGGGCATAAAAGTACTGTCTAACACTTTGTGTCCACGGAATAAAAATGCACGACCCAAAGGTGTCTAGCGTTTTTGTGCCCGCGAGAACAAAATGTCTGGCATTTTCTTGGCTACGGGCACAGGCATGGCAGACATTAATACCCAACATACGATGCCCAATGCCCAATGAACCCGGCATGGGGCATTTGCGGACTTGCGCACGAAGATACGTGCATTAACCAATTGCCGAAAACACCGTTGGTTTGGTTTATTTTTTTCGTAAGTTGAAAAAGTTCACTTTATCACATTCTGTATCAGAAACTAAAATTACAACCACAATTGCGGAGTCTATGAAATGTGAGGTAAGTATGATTTTAAAAATCAGATCGTCTTTAGATAGCTAAGCTTTTAATTTTAGAAATTAGACAGCATGAACTTTATTTTTATTAAAAAAAAAAAAAAATGCGAGGAAATTAAGACGGTATTTAAACGCTCGATAAATTTGACGTACAAATTTACAGCGAATGGCTTCAATTTGTGATCTATTGGCAACATGATCGATTTTGGATTCTGGCACTTTATCTTAACGTCGTTGTTGCGTTCCATTATAGCATGCCAACTTCATTCATAACTACTACACTACGATATTTTCAATATTTGGATTGGATTAGATATTGACTCTGTAGCTCTAAAGTACATTCTGACCGATGTCTTGGTCATTTTATTCGTCGACTTAAATATGACTTTATCGTTAGGTTCTTATGAGTTTGAGATATAGATTATGTCCGGATCGAAACTGCTATTATGTGCTATAATACGTAGATTAATGATACGAGATTAGAAATTTCTTGACGGATACAATCCCTGGTTGTATTGTAATATATCCGGATACAATAAGTGTGCTTGTAAATTTTCGAAGTGCTATTCATATAGAGGCGTGACTTCAAAGATATCACTTATTTTATGATTTAGAATTGTCAGTTTCAACCAAAAGAAATATTACGAGAAGGCATATCAGTAGAATTGGAAGTAGGTAAGATAGCAAAGAAAGTTGGCATATTTAACGGATGGGATCGTATTAAAGCCATGAAAGATGTATAAAGGTCATGTAAGATGTCCAATGTTCATCAGCGTACCGGTAAGTATCATGAAATATTGATGTTTAATATTCAGAGGTGGAATAACTGATAAAATTTTTTTTTTTATTTATTTTCACCAAATTATTTAGATATTAATTATTTTTAGCCTGACAACTTTTAAATCCATATCCCTTTAAGTTTTAAGAATGAATTGTATTATAATTATTATTATTATCTGTTATTATTATTGGAATCAGGCATTTTGAATCATGGGTGATCTTTAAAGTTAAATTTTTTTCTTGTCTCAACTGCCAATCAAATTAATAAATTATTTTTAGCCAGGCCAGTTGGTGATTGATGTGATTGACACTTTCGAGTCAACTCAAATTGTAAACTCAAAGTTCCAAATGATTCATATCTTCAAAACTTGAATTGTTTAGTATCTTGCTGCGTGCATCGAAGTTTTGAGTTTACATATCTTTCATGCAGCGGTTACTGAATATTGTGTTCAGAAAATCTCACATAGTTATACAAAATTGCAAAGTTTGCTTGACCAATCATGTTTACACTGCATATTTCTGGTGTACAAAAAAGTGGCCCTTCTAAAATCAACAATGCACAAAGCTGCGGGATTTTTTTTTTTTTGAAAATCAGCATTTTATCAATGACAATCATACAGTTCAAACGTCATCAAAAATCAGGTTTTGTGTAGTACATCAACCCCAAAAGAAAAACAAATTTTTAACGAACGTTTGGGAAAAAAAAAAATCCCACCCTTTCTTTCCGTTCCTCTTAATCACTACAAACACGCCGCACCCTAATTCACACCATCACCCTTTCAAATATAAAAAAAAAAAAAAAAAAAAAATCCTAACTTCGATCTTTCCAATATCTTTTACATTTTTTATTTTGTTTTTTGTGCTTAACGGAACGTTCTCTTGTTCCTAATTCGGGTTTATCCTTGATAAACTTTAGAAGCAGAGTAATAATAATAATAATAAGTAAATTTCTGCCAACTTTTCCCTACCCTTTTCTGTTTGCCTCACCTGGTAAGAAGTTTTTAATTACACGTTTCCATGTTAGGAAAATATTAGAAGAATACTACACAACATATCAAATAAATAATTTTTAAGAACAGTTGGTAATAGTGAAAATCAGATATTGTATAAAATCAAAAATGTAATATATCATGAATTTTCCTACAACGATAGTTCTACCAACGAATTTGATTTTGACAGAACCGTTCTCTTGTCCTCGAAATGGCAAATGATCCTCTCACCAACCACGGAGGTCTTCTAGACCAAGCTGAAACGAACGGCATTACCACCACACCTGCTGTAACGGCTGTCACCGCTGTAACAAGTAACGGAACTAGCTCCACTCCATCCACAGCCATTACAGCCGTCGCTCCTACAACAAATACAAATTCGCTTTTTGAAAAGCCTTTCATTCCACTCAATGATCAAGCGGGTTCACCAGAGAATAAAAGCACTGAAGGTGAAACTAAAGAAGAAACTGGTGAAGAAGAGACTGAAGATATTTCTAACTCTCAACTTACCATCAGGGCTCTTGTTTCTACAAAAGAAGCTGGTGTTATCATTGGAAAAGCTGGTAAAAATGTTGCCGAGCTTAGAGAAACAACCGGTGTCAAGGCTGGTGTGTCTAAAGTTGTACAAGGTGTTCATGATAGGGTATTATCTGTAGCAGGTACTTTGGATGGAGTCGCAAAGGTAAGAATTTGATTCAATGTTTTCGAATAAACCTTTATGAACAAAAAGGTCGTTTGAATGTTGTGTGCACATGTTCATTGAAGGTTGTCATTACATTAGCCTCTTTTTTTTCAGAATCTCATGAGGACTTTATTGTGTTAAGGCATTATTAAATAGATATATACTATGCCGAAACTTTATTATATGATTTTCCTTTTTTGATAATTAGGGTTATATTTTATTATTGTTATTTTTAGTAACTATTAATGATATATCCGTTTGATTTATTTATTCATTTAAATTTTTTTTTTTTTTTTTTTTATAATAGGCATACTCTCTAATCGCCCAAACTCTCCTTGAAAACCCCGTGAATGCTAGTCCAACTTCTACTCCAATCACTCCTCCTCCAAATGCTTTTACCTCAGTCCGCCTGCTCATCTCTCATAATCTCATGGGTACAATAATTGGTCGTCAAGGATTAAAGATCAAACATATCCAGGACGTTTCTGGCGCTAGAATGGTTGCCTCAAAGGAAATGCTTCCCCAGAGTACTGAGAGAGTGGTTGAAGTTCAAGGGACCGTTGACGCTATTCGTGTCGCGGTTTGGGAAATTGGTAAATGTCTAATTGAGGATAATGAACGAGGTATCGGAACTGTACTTTATAATCCGGCTATTAGGGTCACTTCAAGCTATTTGTCTTCTCGTCGCGAATATACTGTTCGAACTGGAAGTGGAACTGATTTTACTCGTCCATCTCGCAACGGTAACAACAACGAATATCATAATCGTCGTCCACCCCATAATAATAATTATGATAGTTCCAGCATTCGAACCCAAAATATCTCTATCCCTGCTGATATGGTTGGCTGTATTATTGGTAAAGGAGGTTCAAAGATTTCGGAAATTCGTAGACTCTCTGGTTCCCGTATCAGTATTGCCAAGACACCTCATGATGAAACTGGCGAACGGATGTTCACTATCCAAGGTACTCCCGAAGCAAACGAGAAAGCTCTTTACTTATTGTACAACCAACTAGAAAGCGAAAAGGAACGTCGTTTGAATGTTACTGCGAATGGTGATTCCGATTCTTAGATATTCACATTTTCTTGTACCATACTCCGTATTCATACACGACTTGCTATGAAAATTCTCCTACCTCTTATCGTGAAATCATTATCCCAGGAAATACAAACCAAAGTCGCCGCACAATACATGCTTATATATATGTATAAAATGTGCGCGATGTGGTATATATGTATGTATATATGTTACTAGAACGACCTCCGTAGGATTTAGCATTTTTTCCTTGAACATTAGATTTTATTATTATTATTATTATTATATATATATGTTTAGGAGATTCAAGTGAGAATCCTGATAAAACTTTCTCCGTATATCATACTATCATTCTTAACCCTTTCAAAAGAGAAATGTTGTGTTATTCTTAACATTTTATTTCACTTTTTTTTTTTTTTTTTTTTGTCGTCCATTTTCCCGTTTTGTTGATAAATTTTCCAATACAATATAATCCGAATTAGCGAACCAGATTATTCCTCTTACCTTTTTATTGTTCGTTTCACATCATCTTATCGACCTGTAAATGTTGGGATTTTATTCTTTTACCCTTTATTCATCATTTCTTTTCATTTGGATGTACCCGTATAGAACATATTCAACCGAATCCGACTTATTGAATCAAATTTTCCTTTATCGTTCGTTTTACA